TATGACCAATAAACACTAAGAAAATAAAGAAAAAAAAGGAGAAATACAAAAGAGCTCTCTTAAAACACATGTCATTCACTCACGCATTGTGTGGGTACAAACCGTGCTTTACCCATTCATCATAATTGGATGTGGTAAACACCCTTAATGGAGATATATGTGAATTTCACAATAAGGCTAACTGTCTTAAGCTAACACACTTTTCTTAGCCAAATTTCTTGACATCTCGAGCAACAAAGTCTACTTTGATTAATATCCTTCATGTGTGAGGGACAGTCATACACTCCCACAAAATACTCTTTTGTCATGAAAAAACTAAAAAAATGCTATTCATATCAAGCAAAATTTTTGGATAGGTGTAAACCATCTTAAATGAGGAAATTTTTCTGATTCTTAGGCTAGCTCTCAAATTAATGTAAATCTTTTGGGATTCATGCTAAATCTAATCGCTATATCTTTTAGTTCGGATATACGCCCCAGAGACATTCCTTTCAAATGAAACAAACATATCAAATCATGTTTTTGAGCTAGGTTAAATGCACCTTAAATGTGGTAGGGTTCCTGACCCTTCATCAAATGTCAAATTGGTTGTGAGGCCCATTTATTAGGACAATGTCTTTTCTTCCAAGTAAATTCATCTTGTTTTTCACGTTAAGAGGGGATGCATGACCAACAAAAGTGGTGTAAGACTCTCCCACTTAAGGTAATGCTTCAAAGCAAATCAAATAAAAATAAAAATTTAGGATTACAAGTAAGTCCCCTAAAATGAGATTAACACCATTTCCAAAAACAACTCTAAGGATCAAAAGTAAGCCCCCAAGTGGGATTAAGGCACCATTTCCTCAAATTAACTTTGGGGTTTGTAAGTAAGCCCACTTAAATAGGATTAACACATCCTTTCCTTATTTGGTTCCAAAGATAAAAAATAAGCCACCTAGAATATAGCCATAGCCTCCTTTCTTAAGCCAACATAAACCAAATCAGATTTTGGGATAAAAGCAAATAAACCTAAATGTCTAAGTTTCCTGATCCCTTATATGACAATTCAAATGGGAAAGAAGACACCTAAATGGAGTAAGGCCTTTCTTTTTGTGTCACCAATAGATGACTCATATCACATGAGATGCTTGAGCCTTTTCAATTGACCACACTATTAAGACACTGGTTAGTTGTGGTTTACATCAGGCCACCTTGAACATACATAGGCCATCTGAATAAACTATGGGTGCTTCACTTGATGGGAACTAGAGTTAAATCTTGGTATGTTTCTTATGAGGAACCATAACAGACAATTTGCTTACATCAGATAATCCAACCTTCCTCAATCTATTTATCTTGGTTACCGCTTAGGTTTCTAGTGAGGCCCCTTTTCATGGAGTACGACATTTCCCCATAATTTAACGAGCATGTTAGATTTAACTTTGAGGTTTCTTATAAGTCCCCCATAAATAGAGTAATGCATCCATCCATCGACAAGTCCTTAAGGTTGGAAACAAGCCTCCTAAATGGATCAAGGCCTCCATGCTTTTACTAGTTAAAATTTAATTTGAGTTTTTGGCACAAATATCCCTTAAATGGAGTAACTTTTGTTTTCTCAACATGTTCTTAAGATTGGAAACAAGTCTCATAAATGGATTAAGGCCTTCCTTCTTATAATAGTTGAAATAAAAATTAAGATTTGGAGTAAGCCATCTTAAATAAGATCAAGGTACCTTTCCTAAAATAATTCTTAGGTTTGGGAGTAAGCCACCATACAAGGAAGTAAGATACCCTTTAATTAAACAATTTAAGATGGGAAGTAAGACCCCTAAATGAGAATAAGTCATCCTTTCCTCTAAACAATTGTTGGGAGTAAGCCACCCTAATTTGGAGTAAGGCACTTAACTAGCTTTTAGGATTGGGAGTAATCCACCCTAAAGAAGAGTGAGGCACCCTTTCTTTAAACAAATCCTAAGATTGGGTGTAAGCCACCTTTAAATGAGTAGGGAACCCTTTCCTCAAAACAATTTCAAGGCTTGAATATAGGCCCTCTCAATAGGATTAAGGCATCATTTTTCTCGTTTGGTTCTTAAGATTTGAAAGAATCCACCTTAAATAAGGCTAAAACCCCCTATTTTAAATCAGCACAAACCAAATCAAATTTTGGGAAAAAGTAAAACACCCTAAAATGGTAAGGTTCTTGATCCCTTAAATGATTATTTGAATTGTAAAATAAGACATCGAAATAGAATACGGCCTTCCTCTTCATATCACTGATAGATGAATTGTTTCACATGAGATAATCAAGCTTTATTAATTGACCACACTATAAATTCATTGATTAGTTGGGTTTTACATCAGGCCACCTCATGCCTAACTTGTCACATGAATGAACTATGGATGCTTCACTCGACGGGAACCACAACCAAATCTTAGCTGGTTTCTTCAAGGAAGCATAATAGATGACTTGGGTTACAAGCCTTCCTCAATATAATTACCTTATTTACCTCTTAGGTTGGTTGTGAGGCCCCCTTTAATGGAATAAGGCATTCCCCTATAATGTAACAATCATGTTAGATAAAAAATTTGAGTTTGGAAGTATGCTCCCTAAACATGATTATTGCATATTTTTTTTCAAACTAATTCATAAATATGGAAATAAGACATGTAAAAGGAAAAAAGCCTCATGTATTTCACTATATCAGAAAACAAAATATGAGGTTTTGAAGTAAGCCCCCTAAACTGAATTAAGACAGTCTTCCCTCATAAATCAAAAGCAAAATTTGAGGTTTTGTAGTAATCCCCCTTAATGAGGTTAGGGCGACTTTACTTCAAACTAGTTCAGAAGATTGAAAATAAGTCTCTTAAACAAAATAAGGCCTCTTGTCTTACACTAGCACAAAAATCAAATATGGTATTTGGAATAGGTCCCTCCTTAAATGGAGTAAGACATCCTTCCCTTGACTAGTTCTAAGGATTGGAAATAAGACTCCTGAACGGATCAAGGCCTTAATTCTTAAACTAGCTCAAATCAAATATAAGGTTCAGTATAAGCCCTCAAATCAAATATAAGGTTCAGTATAAGCCCCCCAATTAATGGAAGAATACATCCTTTCCTTAATGAATTTTTGTAATCGAAAGTAAGCTCCTGAAATGGATTAGGGCTTACCTTCCTAAATTTAGTTAACCTGCTTACCTATATATCGTGTTTGACACGTTAATAAGCTCATGTTAGGCTCGTTTGCTAAGTTAACGAGCCGAACACGAGCAAAGATTTGTTCGTTCGTGTTCGACTCGTTTTGGCTCGAACTACAACTCATCAATATATATATATATATATATATATAATGATGAGTTGTATTTTAAAAAAAAATTAATTGACTACAAGGCTACAAAGATTTATAATCAATTATACTAATTAAGAAAAGAGAATAAAAATTATTAAATTAGATTCAAATGATGTTTTAATATAAACAATAATTTTTAAATTTTGCCCCAATCCTAAACATCTTATGGCTATGTGATCAGGGTTGCCAAAACGACTCTTTGTTCGTGAACAGCTTGTGTTCGGCTCGCTAAGCAAAAGAGCCGAACACGAACACACTTTTTGAGATCGAAAAATAAACGAGCTGAACATTAGCTGAGCCTGGGCTCGCTCATGTTCGGCTCGTTTACACCCCTATTTGTAGTGTAGCAGACATGCCATAAATCCAATATAATGACTAGCCCCCTTAAACAGGAGCAAGGCTTTCCATTAAAGGGTATTCATACCTCTCCTATTATTTTTGGTTGTCTAAGATATTTTGAAAACACAATTAATAATTTTTAAATTTTGCCCCAATCCTTAACATCTTATGGCTATGTGATTAGGGTTGCCAAAACGACTCTTTGTTCGTGAACAGCTTGTGTTTGGCTCGTTAAGCAAACGAGTCGAACACGAATACATTTTTTGAGCTCTAAATATAAATGAGCTAAACATTAGCTGAGCCTGGGCTCGCTCATGTTTGACTTGTTTACACCCCTATTTGTAGTGTAGCAGACATGCCATAAATCCAATATAATGACTAGCCCCCTTAAACAAGAGCAAGGCTTTCCTTTAAAGGGTATTCATACCTCTCCTATTATTTTTGGTTGTCCGAGATATTTTGAAGACACAATTAACCTTGGTTTGATCAAAAATTGAGTTTTTTTTCCAACAGGTACAGTGTGCCTTAGTGATGCAGTAAACTTGTTGAGAGTCTTTTGTTGGTATCCATTTCTTATGTCCTTTCACGTTTGACACATGTTTTTGATGTTATGGGATTGTAATTTTTAATACACATGTCCTCGTGGCTCAAAAAATTGACAAAATCCTTCGCGAGCGAATCAAGATTCAATTTGGCTTGACCATTAGTGAGTTTGTCTAGAAGACCCTAGATGACGAAACAAATTGAGCGAGTGCGTAGGAACGTGGAATTTACCTTCAGAGGACACCTTTCTTGCAGGGGTTCCATGCACGAACGAGTGACATGCAAATTGATGCCTTTGATTACCAAAAAAATTATAAATATTAAAAAAATTATTATAAAGAAAAATTTTCCCCCACCTCTTGAATATATATATATATATATATCTGTAAACATTGGACCAACTGGAATTCTATCTGTAAGCCAACTCATAATGGGGGTCTAGGTTTCAGAAGTTTCAAGCATCTACATCACATCAATTTTTGCAAGTTGTGGATACACTTTAGAGCTCAAGAGTCTCTTTGGGCTATCTTTCTTAAAGGCAAGTATTGTAGAGGTTCTCATCCCACTTTTGCTACATCCAAATTGGGAGACTCCAGAATCTAGTCTCACATGATTAAACATAAAGATAAAGCTGAAGATTACTTTATATGGGACCTTGGAGAGGGGTACCTCAATTTTTGGCTTGACAACTGGATGGGTGATGGGAAGCTTGCTGACAAGCTGACTGCTCCCCACCCAACTTTTACCAAAGTGTCAGATTTCTGGAATGATAACCAGTGGAACCTTACTGCCTTAAACAACATACTGGATAACTATACCATTAAAAATATTAACAACATTCTTGTGGATACTACTAAGAAGGACAAACTCACTTCCAAACAAGGGGTTTCCCAGTCTACTACTGCTTACATTTATTCCCAACTTCATCAAGGTGAGAACTGTCTCTGGGGGAAATCCATTCGGAATAACTTCCTCTCTCACTCTATGTCTTTTTGCTGTTGGAGAATCTTCTCTAAATGCCTCCCAATTCATGACATTCTGAAACTGAAGGGATTGAGAGGTCCTTCTTGTTGTCTTCTATGTAAAGGGCAAGAGGAAACAACTAATCAGCTGTTTTTCCATTGTCAATTTGTCCAGCAAATTTGGTTTAATGTCCTCAGAAACTTGAAAGTCCAAACCATCAATCTCACTTGGCAAAAATTTATATCTTGCTGGAATGAATGGTTCCAATTATTAAAAAACTTTTGGTGATACCTTGTGTGGTGGCCTGGTTCACTTGGATGCCTAGAAATAAGGCCAAATTTGAAGATCACTTACCACATCCCTCTAAGGTGGCTGCTAATTGTTTAGCTTTTTTGAAAAAAATCACACATTGGAAACCCTTTCCTGACCTTTTCAAGACCAACTCATAGGCAAATCAACCTGTTTTGGAGCACCCCGTTGTTTACTGGATCAAACCTCCTGCTGGTTGGCAGAAAGCCAATACTGATGGCAGCTTCTAGAGGTCCTCTGCTGGCATTGGAGTTGTCTTCAGGAACTCAAATGGTAATTGTCTCTTACATTACCAGACTCCTGTTTTTGCTGCTGATACTCTGGAAGCTGAACTCTGGAAGCTGAGGCATTGCTCTGGAAGCTGAGGCATTGGCTATCTTTTGGGTCACCTTGATTGCAAGCAAGGCCAAGTTTTGTAATATGATAGTGGAGACAGATTCCAAGATAATGATTAGCATTCTCCTTAATAATATAACCTGCCTCTGGCACATTCTGAAATGGAAGAATAGAATTTCTTATAACTCTCAGGGCCTTAATTTGAAATTCACTTCTATACACAGAGAAGGTAACAGACCTACTAATTGGCTTGCTCAGGCTGGTGCTGAGGCAGACAGACCCAATGATCTAAGAAACTCCCCCCACCACTTCAATTACTTCTCATGGGAGACCTTTCTAATTTGTCTTTCTGTAGACTGTTGTAAATTTCTATCCTTTCATTTTTTGGATTTTCATATATATACGCTTTTACAGAAGATAGTTTTATATATGACTTTAGTTTCATTTATATATATACATCTTATGTATATGTATATATATGTATATGTATATAAATGTATAAAAATTAAATTTGATTTTTAATTTGAATATTTTTACCGAAGTTTGTTTTCTTCGTAAACAACCCGTCAAAATTTCTTATTATTATTGATAGGTTCCGGAAATTTTTTTGTTGATAAAAAAATTTTTTGTAATCAGAAAGAAAAGTCTACTTTCGCCTTTCATAAACTCCCACATTTCGCTTGACTTTTTTGTTTTTTGGCTGTCAAACACCTCTATTCAATTTCTAACACGTATTTTATTTATTAAGTTGAATGGATCTATAATTGAATGACAAAATTTATTCAAATATGACAAACATATAGTAAAATCGAACGTCTCGTTGAGTCAAATCCAATGAGCCAAAGATCATTCAGTTTTGACATTATTAAATCACTCAAATGCTCATAAAACAACATCCGATCAAAGGAGTCACTCTTGGCTACACAACATAGTGATCTGGATTCATACAGTATTTACAAAGTATGTCACTCACAAAATCTATTCCAATAACTCTTGAGGCTTCCTAAGATCCACCATCATCGAACTGTCGCCGACTAGCAACAGTCCCGGCCGGATTGTCGTAGCCGCTCCCTAAGCATTGTTGTATAGCCGCTGCCACCACATCTAGCCAGTCCACTGCTACTTAGCCAATGTTGTTAAGCCCCCACCACTCAGATCCAACAATACATTAGGAATAATTGGTGAAATATCTATTCAAAATAAAAATATTAGGAATAACTGGAGCAAAAGCTTGAAAACAATTAGCCTAAATATATGAGAAATTAGTGAGCTTAGTTTACTTGGAGGATGGTTTACATATATACCACTCTATTTTTATGTATTTACATATATAACCCTAAAACTTCAGTTTTTATATACCTTCCCTTCGTGTGAAAAGCATATTCACTTTTTAAATGTTAAAATGGTGATATGTTTGATGTGACATGAAAAATTTCAATGATATAAATGTAAAAATTAAAGCTTAGGTATTAGATATGTAAATTCAGAAGATTTTGGTGGTATGTATGTAAATTAGTAAATGCCCCATAATAGACTATGATTCTAGCCGGTAAGTCAAATCTACTGAAATAATAAAAAAATAAAAATAAAAAAAATAATTCGAAATGAACGAGTATCTTATCCTCATTTGGGTTGTTGGTGGCGCATCTTGACCATATTTTAAATATCGTTTGAATATTTTGATAAAAACTTTAATTAATTTGAAATTTCAATTTTCTTTTTAATGATCATAATATATAAGTGATTAATATTATTGTTGAATCATGATTTTTCCGTGAATCGCACCCAAAGATTATATGCATATATATATATATGTATAGATATACATATATGTATATATGCATATATATTTATATGTATACATATACATATGTGTATATATGCGTATATACATATACATATATGTATATATGTATAGATGTATATTTATATGTATACATATACATATATGTATATATGTATATATGCATATATACATATATGTATACATACATATATGCATATATCCATATATGTATACATCCATATATGCATATATCTATATATATATATGTATATATGTATATGTATATATGTATATATGTATATATATGTATATATTTATATATATGTATATATGTATATATATATGTATATATGT